GTGTTGCCTTTGGCAGTCTCTAGGGAGCTAGATGTAGTGCAGATTAGTGAAAACATGATGACACTGGGAACCGGTTTACAGCCTGAGAGGTCCTGGCTATCTCTATGCTACATCTGCGGTTTTATTACTTCCTCTTAATTTTAGACCACAATATAACCGTGAACCCTGTTGTTTTCTGGAGAATAATTTTAGATAAACAAAAATATATTGCGACCAGACAGCTTGAGTGAAGAAGTTTGAGTGTGTTGATGGCATGAAGCACACTGACCTTAGACCCATTGTCAAGCACCAACAAAGAGCCATCTGCACAGCAACCAAAGCTCAGATGAGGGACTCACACACAGGGGGATCAAGGAGGGGGAGGGACACAGGGACCTGGAGAGTGTAAAAAAAGAAAAACTAATCAGACATAAAGAAACATCTTAATGTGACTTGATCAGCTGGATTGTGTCTGAAACATCACAGCAGACGGCGCGTATCAAATAGATTTGTACACTGAGAAAACAGGAAGCTGCACAACATATCAGCACAGAGAGTAAATGGATCTCTCCTTTGCTGGTAAAGTGAAAGAGAAGAGCCGCCGGCCTAATCACTCAAGAGCACATTTCCTGCCTCCTGCTTGATGAGCTGTAGTCAGCTGTAGTGGGTATTTCATTCATTCTGTCTGCACAGTCTTTGTCTCTGCAGTGATCTCAATTGTAATGATATATTTTGGAAGTGCAACAAAAATGTGTTTTCTTTTCAAATAGATTTCAAAATGGTGAAAACAAAGACAAAATGGTGTCAGGGACATCTAGAAAAATCAAAAATGTTTCACAGGTAAGGTATGGGAGTCCGGATTGCTTAGCAACAGCAGTAAGAAAAATCTTACAGCCAGTGTTGAAACAGAGAAACTGATCCTGCTGCCACCCAGTGGTGCACTGCTAGTATGCTGGGGATGAACTGACACAGAAAATAATCAAAGGCTCACTTCTCTCACTAAAGCGTGTATGTGCAGAAAGACGCCACCTGCAACCCATAATTGAACAAGAAATGAATGAAGGAAAAAACATTAAAAAAGTGCTCTTCCTTCGTCAACCTCTGTTCGAAAATGTGTTCATTAATTTGATTGGCTGGAAAATGTACCAGCTCTAATGTTGCTAAGCAACATTTATTGCAGGGTGGGAGGGTGTGAGCGTTGAGAAGGGGGGGTGGGGCGTGCGTCTAGGGGAGGGAGCCTTGTGGGTGCAGGCAGACTGGCTGGGGAAATACCTGGCAAAGGTCCCAAATAAACAAACAGAGAGAGAAGGACAGAGCGGGAGACAGAGGACAGGGTATTTTCTACGTCCAGATAACAGTCCAGTCTGAGATAAAAGGAACAATGCATTTAATACGTGCTACCACACTTAGTCCCAAAGCAGAACCAGACTGGGGACAGGAAGTGGAGAGTGTTCAACTAGAAACTTTGCCTATAGTGTGATAGTTGACAAAAAAATCTTGAGAAAAAATAAGTAAGTTAGAACTTTAGTTTGATGAGAGGGTAACTGGAAGATTGCTGTGAGTAACAGGACAAGGAGTTGCAGTTGATAAGGTGTAACAGTTTGATTAGGAACAGACCACACACAATCTCAGTTCTCATGTTAGTGTGGAGAAATGCTACTTGTACATGCACGTTTTTGTTTGTACAGTTGGGTGTGGAAGTGTCTCCATGAACGTTTTGGCTTATTACTTTTTTGTAATAAGGACGAGTTGAATTAAAGGCAGAGATGTCAACAGCCTGCAGCGTATACAAACAAATGAAGGTTTACATGACATGGGATTACAGTGCAAAGCCAATGGTGCAATAAAAAAAATGGAAGAGAAAACTAAAGGAAGTGAAAATGTTCAAAATGTGCTTATATGGAGAGGGAAGGGTAAATGAGGCTGCTGCAGGAGGTGGGCCTTGGAAATGGCTGATGAAGGCGGTCTCTACAGGCAATGAGCACTCTTTGTCAGGAGTAGGAAATGAGGTTTCTGTTGTGATTAAAAGGAAGGTTTCTATGGCAATGCAGAGAGCCGTGTGCACAGTGAATTTGTTGGGAGTGGAGGGGGCTAAGTGAGAGTAGTATTTCAAAGGAGGCAGCCTCTTCCGTCTCATCTCCCACCACCGCCACCCCTCTGCTTTTCCACAGCGCCCTTTTATCTCTGATAATCTGTTTTCATAGCCACACAGTTCAGACTGCAAGGGGGATTATCCAGAGCAAACCAAGTCATCGGTCGATCAGTCATAAATGTTTACAGAGTAGCAGTCTTACTTCCCAAAATTGCTGCCGTCTCACCCCACCAGGAAAAAACACCATTAACAGAATAGCTAATTAAAACTACACGACTCAAGCTAGATAGTTAACATAATGATGACTCACATCTCTTTCTTGTTTATACAGGTATACTTCTGTCTAATCACTGTCTCTTCTTTTGGATTTTTCTAAGACTCACTCACTGAAACACAGTATACTTTTGGTTTCAATACTGACAAAGAACCGTTGGCCATTGTTAAAATATTTGTTTCTGTAAATAAAAACCCAATACTTTATTCATAACATCTATATCATCCCTACAGCAAGGGATTGAAAGAGGTACGATGGCACGAGTATGACCTTTAAAACCTAAATATAGAAATCTCCTTTGTTAATTGTTTCAATGCAAATCAAAATATCTTTCTTAAAATAAGTTCCCCACTCTGAAGTTCTCTTTTGTACAGAGGAAGTTGCTCTCTGCAGCAGTAACTGCCATATTCCCCCAACACAGCCCTCATTATAGGATGTTTAGATACGATGACATTTGAAACTGCTGAGGATCAAAGTGATTTTTTGAATCCTTGCCCATTACAAGCAGGACTGTTTAAGAACAAAAAGATACAGATGCTTCCGATCCATGAAAATGATATTGCATGCCTGAACCAAATGTTGTTTACTGAGTGAGCATGAGAAAAGACTGATGTTTACAACTGTGATGCATGTAAACAGATGACTCATTTTAAAAGAAAGTTCAGTTTATTCAAATGACACTGATTTTATCATCAAAATCTGGGACAAAATTATATAACTTGATACAGAATTTAGGGAAAATATGTTTTGCTTAAAATGACTGCACAAATAAAACCCATGAAAAAAACCCATCACATTTGGACTTGGTTTTTCATATACGTTGAACTGTTTGCCTGCCTGCAGACACATTTTTGCATCCAGCTGACATTCTGCACCCTACCTATTTATTGAAAGTAACTGGAATAATACAGAGCTGTCAAATAAATGATTGCCAAACCTGTTTTTATCTGCTCCAGGATTTTGCTCATGATGCTGGCTTGGTTCTCATAGTCCTCAGCTTGAGACTCTGTTTCCTTTTGTTGCTCATCAATGTCTCTCAGCAGAGAGCGATGATCTTGGTCCTGTTGTAAACTTGCTACTCCAAACTTCTCTATCTCTTCTTGTGTCTGCAAATTCACACAGTAAGAGACAGACGTTTAAATATATAGGTAATGATATAAACCTACACAATGTATCCACACTGAATACTACAGGTTACTATTTCCCCTTTACCTACCTTTAATTGTAATAATTGAGAAAACTTGCCTTTGAAGTCCGTTTTTAAGGTAAAAATGTAAGAAATTAGTAAATAGAGAAAACCTACCCGGTTGATCCGATCCCTCAGTGCCTCAGCCTCATTGTTTTGCTCATTTACAAAGTTAAAGAGTGCAAAGTTCTGGTCTTCAACTACACAGCAAAACAGCAATTAAAAAATGAGATACTTTTACTTCTAAACTGAGACTGTTTTAGAAGAATTATCAGACAGAGCGATTATTTAGCTGTAATGTAATGTAATAATAATATGATCATTATGGTTTTATTGTCTATAGATAAACAATTGCTTTTTGAGTAATAATGATTGGTTTCAGTGCCCACTGTTGTGTTTGTGTATACATCAGAGTGAAGTATTCCGGTTGTGTTGGTCAGACTTACCCTGGATGAACCTGGTAACCAGCATGTCCAGGTTGTCCTCCCCCGTCACTGTCTCTATTCTCTGGAACACTTCATCTAAAACGTCCAGCGACTCTTCCCCTGAGTCCATCCTTCTCTGCTCCTTCAGCTCTGATACTGGGACAAACATCAGCATTAGCACCATTTCGTGGGTGCTATATAAACACCACTGTCAACAATACTATCATTATTATTAGGCGGTTCTATATGTCTAAATCTTTTAATAAGGGTTCCAAAAAAAAGCTTTGAATATCTGTTGTCATATTCTATGATGACGTCAAAGGAAAAAAAAGAAGATAATTTTTCAAATGTTTTTAATGTAAAAATATACGGATCAAAAAAGAATATTTTGTTGGATGAGAACATATAATCAAGTTTACTGTTAGAGTAATGAATGGAGCTTGAAATCCTAAATATTAGGAAAACCTTTCATTATTATCTTCTATTACTACTATGACTGTACCTATTTATGTATCTGTTCATCAAAGTCTTGTATCTTATTATTTTTTGTAGATTTTCTATTCGTATCATTACTGCCAATGGCTGAAAGTTCACAATCGCTGTGAAAAGGATAATTTTGTTTCTATTACGTTGTGTACTGTTTCACAACATGTTGGTTTCCAAGCCAACAGGAACATTTACAGAGTTTTCTCTCTAATTTTTTCATAATCTTTTTCTGTTGTAATCTAATACAACACTAACTCTTGCATCCATCTAATTGCTTCGACAGTACAATCCTAAATAATTGTTTGCTAGTGTGTCAATTATAATATGTTGCATTATAGGGCAGTTGTGGTACTCTAAAGGAGTTTTGTTTATATATTTTCTCACTGAAAAAGAATCATATAACCATCAAAACATATAATCAATGTTACTGATAGACATGAGGACAAATATTAGGTATCAAACCCAGTTTTTGTGAGAATAAATGGAAATCAAGCAATGCTATAGAGCCAGTACAAGGACTAAGACATTAACACTACCAGGCAGAAGATGATAATTGGTGATATTCTCTACTGAGTAAACATTATTTGTGTCACTTCCACCAGCATTTATTATCACTTACACTTTCCCATTATCATAATTATACATTTTTGTCATAAACAGTGTCTGTTTCTCACGTTGTCTGTGTCCCAGCTCATGGCCCTCGTCCTGCCCGCTCCTCTCACTGCATTTGGTGGACATGAACTCTTTCAGGATGCACTCATGTGCAATGACCCTCTCCAGTTCCTTCATCTCAGCGTTGTACTGGGCCAGGTCCTTCACTGCCTTCTCCCTCATCATGGTCATCTTGGACTGAGCCTCTACCCTAAAGTGGAAAGGATTCCAAATGAGACATTCAACCACCAAGATCATGACGTGATATCTTGCTGATTTATGCGCAAACAACCGTCTCAAATCTGACCTTGCATCGTAGGCAGCAGTGGACAGGTTGACAGTTTCCCCTATCTTCTTGCGGACATCGTAAAGTTCCTACAATACACAAGAATCAGTGCAGGGACGTGTTTAAAAACTGTAAGAAAACTTGTTTATGGATCATCTGTTATGTGACCTCTCACCTTGTCCAGCCTGTTGTGTAGTTGCTGGAAACGTATGCGCTCAATATGAAGAGTCTGCAGCTCCTCTCTCAGGTGGCAGTTTTTGGTAAGCTGCTCATTGAAGCGAGTCAAAGACTGGACAGGACGTAGAACATGGGTAAAAACAACATAACTTTTAAATTATACTACGCAGGAATCTATCTGTTTTCTAGGTATTTGGATTTAATGATTTTTCTTTACTCACTCTGTCCAGTTTATATTCCAAAGTGCGTATGGCCTTCTGAGTCCGTCGTAGCTCAGACCTTTGTGTATCACCACCATTGACATCACTTTTTCTCAGCTCTGCCAGCTTTAACTCCATGTTTGCAACCTGCCCACATTACAGATGCACGATATATACTGTGTTTGTTAAAGGTCTCCTATTATACTCTTTTTCATCAATATATTATAGCTCTCAGTTATATACAAAACATCTCTGAAGTGTTTGGCTCAACATACCAAACAGATCATGCATTGCAGCATGCCATAATCCCCTCTGTTTCAGCCCTGTTTCCAAAGTGCTGATTCTCTGTCAGTTACTTTAGATGAAAATAAGGAGCCACTCCCCACGCCCCTCTGAGAGATATTTGGTTAAAAAGTACACAATAGGCGCTTTCACACCGGAGTACTTTTCCCAGTATAGTTCCGATGTAGTTCCGAAAATGTGCGTTCACACAAAAGAAATCCGGAACTAGAACTTAGTTCATGAGAACCTTTCAACCCCCTTTTCAGTCCCTGCTAGAGAGCAGGTACTTTCATGGGAGAAAAAGGTTCCCATTTCTGATTGCAAACCACGCCCCGTAAAACTCCCAAAAAGTTTTGTGAAGCTGCCATTTTATTTGCTTGCATTAGCATTATTAGCATTAGCTGTCAGCGGCTTAATTTGCCTAATCCTCCCTCAGGGACTTATTCCGGTGTGAACGCGTTCTCATGAAGTTCTAATGAACTAAGTACCGCAAAGTACTTGGTGTGAAAGCGCCTATTTGTGCTCTAGGAGGAGATTCAGGTGATAAGGTGGGGCGGTTGGTTATTGGCTAATGGTTACACAAGCCAACAAATCGTTATGACATCAATAAAGTGGGCAAAATCTGATCAGCTGATTTTCAGACAGGTTTTTATATAAATGGATCAGGGGAAAAAGTGAGCGAAAAAATGTTCCTGAAACTTGCAGAATCTCTTTACACAGAGGGGACACATGTTTATGTATAAAATATATGAAAAAGTGAATTTTGCATAGTAGGTGACCTTTGACTAAAAATAACAACAAACTTTAAATGTAAAATATCATATGACTTACACCTAATTCACCTCTTTCTCCACTTCTTTTTGACACTGCTTCTCTTTCAACAGCTCCTCCTCTAGCATGTCTCTCTGCTCCAGCAGAGCACGAAGACTCTGGGTGTCCTCGCTGTCCTGCTGTTGGCGGGACAAGCTCTTACAAGCACCAAGGTTTCGATTCAGCTCCTCCTGCTCCTTCAGCAGGTTCTCCATCTCCTGCCTTCATCCACATCACATTAACAAGCAATCAGACAAATATAATAAAAAAACACCAGACATTCACTGTTAACAATGTGATGTAGGTGTAGTGCTTATTCACTGTTGTTTGCGGATCTGCTCCCGAGCCTGAATGGTGTAGGCCTGCCGATCTCCTTCCATTATCCTGAACTGTCTCTGCAGTTTGGCTATCTCTGATTCTGCTTTAAAGAAAGATTAAATCATGCATGTTACAACTGTGTCAACCATACTGACATACTAACATTACTTGGAGAGTATAAACATCTATGACAGCGATATAACCAACATTACCTGTACCATCAATATCCAAATCACTGCCATCTGAGCGGGCACTTGTTGCCAATCTTCCTCGAGGCATGGTTACACTGGGCTTTTTGGATACGAAAAAAAAGTGAATTGAGGCTATTTACAGCAAACTGGAACTGTCATTGTCATCTGATCATTCACTTTGATCAATGTTAGTCTCATATAGGCCTACCGCCTCCAATATGAGTTTAAATAAATATGTTTGAAATGTTTTTTGGATTTTCTGGAAGCAGCATTTGATTGAGATTGTTTGCATAATAAATCTCTAGAGTAAGTCTTAAAATAGTAGGTACAAATCGAATCAAGTTTGTCTGTCACATTGGCTTTAAGTAGGTAGTTTATGTGAGAAATTGCTACAATTATTTATTTGTCTTTATTATCTACATGTAACATACATTTGAAATATGTTGTTTTGGTACTTGGTTGATGCATATTTTGATTGTATTGCATCATCAAACAATAACATTGAACAATACATATGCATGGCTTTGATGTTTCTGAGCTCATCCAGTTCATATTAAAAATAAACAAATGGTGTATTCCTCCACAATGTGATTAAATCAAATGTTCAATCTATGTTTCCCTGGATTAATTTTTTGAAATCACATAACCTCAAATGCCAATTTTGCAATGCAGATGTCTTGACTGTTGAAATGTTTTGTCTCCCACAGTGGCTCAACAGAACCATTGAAACTGCATTTCAAACATCCATCCCCCTTGGTTCTTCTTGCTTTGAAAATAGCCCTTGCCAATTACTTACAATATTAGTTTTTATGCAGAGACACTTCAGGGAGCATATAGGACCCTTTGAACATAGGGATCCGATAGCTAAACTAAACAACAAAAAAGCTGCAAGACTTTATATATTTAGCTATAGCTTAAAGTGAACTGATATATGAAAAGCATACAAAAACGTTCTGCTGTTATGGAAAAATTAAATGGAATCTTACCAGTTAAAGTAAGAGTGCCACGTCCCAGAACACAAAACAGGCTCACAGCAGCCTGAGTTGTTAGCAACTGTTGCTAGGTGCCCTGGGAGCAGCAGTCCCTGAGGTTACAGCCAGGTTGAGTGCAGGATAGCAAGTCTCTTCTCAACACCTCTTAAAAATTGGTTTTACTTAGAGACCAACAATAAATTACCGTTTGAGTGACACAAAGCTAATGCTCAATACCTCGGTGCCATATTATTGAAAATGGCATAACATTATGATGAATCTGAGGCTGACTAATGTATCATGAGTGGATTTATCAAAAATATTTTATTGAATAATGATTTTAGCTTTTTTTCAACAGCTTCCTTGTCATGTGACCCAGCAACACCAAATCAACGCAGTAGTTTATAAATACAGTCAATCAGTAGGACAACAATACACCTTCCATTTTTATGAATATTAATGGGAAAACTCTGCATTTCTTTCTTGGAAATCTTGGAAAAATAAGACACACCTTTTTTTAAACACCTTTTTATTGCTTCCCTTATATTTTATATCAACATTGTTACACAAAATGCCATTGTTTCCTGTTGCATTGTACTACTACACTGGACAAGTAGGAAACATCGTTATAATTGACACTTTGTTAGACTTATCAATAAAAACTACTGGCAACCTTATTATACAGTATTTTGCTTAAAGGTTTGTAAACACATTTAAAATCGTATATTGGAGGAATGCAAAATGCATACTTCAGTTGAAAAATTTACTATTTCTAAACTTTATATTTGAACAATATATCTTTGTTATGTGTTTCTTGGGTAAATATTCATATCACATTATTATTATCATGCTTCATAGCCATATCTAAGCCCAAATCACCCTGTTATGTGTTACTCAGTCCTTGTTTAATATATAAAGCAGATAAGTGTACATTTGAGTATATGTGTTACATGTCTTTGAGATTTTGTAATTACAACTTCAGTTTATTTCCCTGGCTCTTGCTGCGGCTGCGGTTCCTCCTGAGCTTGAGTTAGCGGGGCGCCCTCAAGGAAGGTACAGAAGTGTTCTGCTGTATTGAGCTCAGGTTTTCTTAACAGCAAGTAGCATTTTGGAAAGTAGTAACCTGCCACTAACCCGAAGTTGCTTGCCAGGTTGAAAGAAACATGGACAAAAGATCTATCCTTGTGACTCAAGCCTATGTAGATTGGAATAAAGGTCACCCAAATCACACAGTAGACTAGGGAGGCAAAGGTGATGTCCCTGGCAAGGTTGTACTGATGAAGAGGCTTTGCTGCCATGAAGGTAGACATGAATGATATAAGAGCCATTGCACTGTTGAAACCCTGTATTAGGGCAAATCCAATCAAGGGGGATATTGGACATGTCAGAAACGATCTCACAAAGTCTATTTTCAGGTTTGCCACATATTCAGACAGTGTGATCCCTTCCACCAAAAACCAGCAACAGAGAGCCCCCTGCACAGCAAAGCAAAAAAGCACAAACAGCCAGATTCCAGGGCCTCTTAGCATATGCAGGTGAGAGGCGGCCATCTTTGGGAACTCTGTCACGTAGAGTATCTGTTCAAAAAGAAGGGTTTGCAGCTTCATTACAATGTGCACTATTTATTTGTTCTACAGGAAAGTAATGTACATCACACGTTATTACCCACCTGTAGTGAGATAAAAGTGATGTACAATCACATCTATCAAATATTTACATAAAGTCATGGTTATTACGTTAGGGTAATGGGTCCAGTAGTCTCTTTACATGCCCGACATGAACCTAACGTTCGTGGTTCAACCCAGGTAGTTATTAGTAGACTGAAGAACGGGTTATAGGTTTTTTAACCGTGGTAGCAACCTAAAGTAACTGGTCTGTGTCTGAGACCTACTCGAGTTGACGATGTGTGTTCCAACCGAATGAATTTGGTTTGACTCGCCTACTCTTCCCGTTTATACAGTGGAGGTCGTGGTTTTCAGATTTCAGTTAAGGATTTTTTAGGCGGACGGTGTGTTACTATCCTTAAACAGTGGACGTATTGGTAATCGAACCACTGTCTTGGACATCACGTCGCGTGTCGAAAGTCACACATACGACGGTAGGAATGAAACACCGACTCCGTGATGTGTTGGACGACCCTACATTAAGTTGGACCGCACCGCACTTCCTTTAGTTCAGATAGGGCACGCTTTCCACTAAATAGAAACGCTCAACAAAACATTTTATCCAATGTGTGTAAAAATTCATTTTTTTTTCTATAACTCTTGTAGGTTTAATTAACTCCTTGTTGTAGAAAGGAAACCGTCGACAACCTCCAAAAATTCCTATGTAGATATCTTGTATTTACCGTGTTGTAAAGTGTCAAACTTGTAATGCCGTTGGTTTGGCTCATGCTATAATATCTCACCAAACCTTACGGAAGCTGAAGTCTGAAGCATTCAACAAACTTGGACATTTTCTTTTTGACAAGTAGTTGTGGTTGAAGAACTTTACCGGTGACTTTTGAGACTCCATTATGTTGTGTAAAAAAATTTACTATACATTAAGCCTCTTTCTACGTATGAAAATTAAACAACTAACTTAGGTTCTACATTATTTGACGCCAAACAAAGACATGTGATATTACGTTGTTGGCAAACGTCCAAGGAGTTAGATTAACGAGTCGTCTTACACCCGTTCCGTCCAGGCGTCTCATTTTCCGAAGGTGAGGACGGACAAAAACTAACATAACCTGACGAACCTCCGTGAATGGCCTTTTACTCCCCATTACACAAGACAGTTTATGGACTGGAAAACATACTTCCTTATCCTGTATTAATAAACCTAATCGCAATTAACCGAAGCGACTCTCAATCTCGAAAAATAAAAATCGAGTCGTACTGACCGTTTGTACTTTTTCTCCTAACCGGAATACGCTTGCATTTTTTTACGGACTCTTTCGATTAAATGTAAAAGTGTTGTACAAGGTGGTATGTCTAAAATAATGGAACCCCATGTGGTCCAATTTCCAATAGGGGATAGAAGGTACAAGTGATTCGAATTGGGTCAGTCCTGACGATCACATAATAAAGTAAATTACTACTGTTTTTATGATTTGTATTAGTCTCCCGGTATTCCAAAAAAAAAAAAAAAAGCTACTTTAAGATTGAATTTAGTTTGGTTACAAGAACATACACGAAAGACTTGAATATCTCCTGTGGGTCACGCGATTCACCGAGACTAGCGGTTACCAGAAATTTTTTCTCGTGAAAGGACGTAACTAGGGTCAAAACTTAAAAACAGGACCTGATGTGGACCTCCGATAAGTCAATGCGACCGACCCCACGACGAGGAGTAAACAGTCCACAGTCAACCGCCACTAAAAGGACTTTGTGGCCCCTAGGAAATATCATCGACGAGTCCCCCTTGTCGACTCAAAACATCGAGACTATTTCGGACTACCCTCGACGGAGTCAGACCACGAGAAGGACCCCAGTCGGCCCGCCTGTACCACCACCATCAGAAGTGACGGGAGCGGAGGGAAAAGTTCTGTCACCG